TATTTAAACATACATTTTTAAAAACTGATGTAACTATCTTGAATGTGGAACTGGCTACTTAATATCTATTGCAGATGAATGCATGATTAAAAAAAAAAAAAGAGGGGGACACAAATGAAATCCAAATGCAACGTTGGAGGAAAAAAAACTGACACAATCATCATCACATATCTTCAGTCTGCATCCTGACTCAGCACAGCAGCAGCAGCCATTAAAGATTACCTCACAGGGCTGTTTATAGTCGCTGGTATTAACACTTTAGAGGGGTAACAGATTGATTTGGAGACTTTAAATTTGGGCTGGCGTGAGGGTGAAACTCTGGATGAGCAGAGAACCTGTTTTCCTTTATATGTTGTGGACTATGGTAGCATGTTGGTAATTTTTGGTGACTGTTAATGTCATTTTCTGATCATTCTGGGAGAAATCACACCTAGAAATTGGTAACTCAACATATTCTATACAATCCAGCTGCAGGAAACTTTAGCCAAGTGTGAATGACAAAGTGCAGCAGTTTGTTCACAGGCTGGACCGAGACATCAGTGTCATAATGTTAAGAAAAAAGCTTGTATATCTCCACAGAGTTGTGATCAATAGTGGAAAAATCCAGATGAGCAGAGGGCCTGTTTCTTGTGTATAATGTGGATGCATGTCAGTGAGTTATTTAGGACAGAAAAAACTACTGTTAATGTCTTTTTCTGTTAATTTTGGTAGAAATTGGTAACATAACATGTTTTATATAATCCTGTTATGGTAAATGTTAAACTTTGCCAGATTTGAATGCATCAGTCCTTATGTGGGTTCTGAATATGTGTCTAACAGTGTAGCAGTTTGTCCACAGGCTGGACAGACATCAGTGCTATAACGAACAGAAAAAAAACATATATATCTTCACTTAATTGTAAATACAGCAGTGTTCCCAACCAGAAACAAATCCAGATGAGCCTGTTTGTTGTGCTTATTGTGCACTGTGGATGCATGTCAGTGAGTTATTTAAGAAAAGAAGAATGATTTTAATGCCTTTTTTTCTGATCATTCTGGGATAAATCAGACTTAGAAACTGGTAACTTTACATGTTTTATATAATCCTGTGATAGGAAATGTTAAACTTTGCCATGTTAGAATGCATCAATCAATCCTTATGTGGGCTCTGAATATGTGTCAGCAACAGTGGAGCAGTTTGTCCACAGGCTGGACAGAGACGCCAGTGCTATAATAAACAGAAAAAACTTGTATATCTCCATAAAATTGTAAATAAAGCAGCGATTGATACTAGAAAAAATCCAGATGGGCAAAGAACCTGTTTCTTGTGCATATTGTGTACTGTGGCTGCATGTCAGTGCAATATTTAGGACGGAAATAATGACTGTTAATGTCTTTTTTTTCTGATCATTCTGGGAGAAATCACCTTAGAAATCGCTAATTTAGCATGTTTTATATAAACCTGTCATAGGAAACCTGAATCCCTGCCACCAAATATGTGTCTAATGTGTGTAGCAGTTTGTCTACAGGCTAGACAGAGACATCAGTATCATAATATGAACAAAAACCCTGTATATCTTCATGGATTTGTAAATAAAGCGGTGATCCATACTGGAGGCACTGTGCCAAACTTGGAGCGCATTCCCTCCTTATTGATCCGGTGATCTGACAGCTGCCCAGGATCGATTCTCGTGTGTCTGTCTGCTCGTATAAACACGATCCTGTCTTTTCACCTCACAAATGTTATGTTGTGATTAAAAATCTGCCCATTGAGCATTTCACCGTCCCAGACCTGAGCTCCAGTGTCAGCGCGCTCCGGCTATACTTATCACTGCGACTGTGGGACGCGCGGTGGGCCTTGACGCTGACACCGTTGCAGTTCAGCCCTATTTGGACACGGCTGCAGCGCCAGTCTGTCACTCCAACCGAACGTCATTCATTCATTTTCTAACACAAATCCGACCCGTCTGCTCAAATCTGCCCTCAACCACCGAACCGATCGCTCGAAGTTTTATCCAAATCCAGAGCGAAGGAGATCGGCTGAATCCAGCGAGCTGAACAGGCACTTTCAGGCTTGACACAGAGACACACAGTCCTATAAACAGCAACACACGCTTACGGTTTTTTAGGGAGCGGCTAACTTAGCGGCTTTTCTTATTAATAGTGCGACGGGGGCGCATTTTACGCACGTACCCGGCGGTCATGGCGATGTTGTAGAAGGTGAGCCATGCGGTTGCGAGGGCGCTTTTCGTTCTCTTCTTGTTGTTGTTTTCCTTCTCCTCAACCGTGCCGTCCTCCTCGCTGGACGCCATGGTACCGGGGGCAGGGTGGGGAAGTCAGGAAGGGAGCTGACAGCTGGGGCTGGTAGGGCGGGGAGCAGCGGGGTCATCCATCCATCTATCCGCCCACGGAGCTGCCTCTCTCTCGCGGGACTAGTGCAACAAGTGCGTGGCCTGCCGGTGGTTCAGGGACTAGTAGGCAGCTTGGTGGATCCTCTTCATGCCTTTACATGCTTATGGGTCCCCTAGATTTCAAATTTACGTCAGATGTTTTCACAGGAATCCATGTCAGTTACACCTGTGCAAGTCTGAAAAATACAAGGAGATTTAGTGTTAGTCATTTTAAAAATATATGCTGCCTTTAAGGAAAATTAATAAATGAATGTGACTTGATTCATATTAAAAATGCAGTTGCAGTCTGTGTCAGTTCAGACAGAATTCAGTAAAGATGTAACTCTACCATCTCAGATTTTGTTCAGTTTTGGGACCCAAAACTAAAATATTTTTGGCTGGATTTATAAGATTTTTTTGTATTTTCAGCCTCAGAACAACACCTACCTGGGAGACAGTTTTAAGAGTTCAGTATCTCCAGGAATACCTGCTGGAATCGATTTTGTCTTTTATTTCTGGAGATGCTCAATGTCTAAAAAGGTTTGCCGGATGAGATGTTTTCCGAGGCCGAAAATACAGATATTCCCATGTCTGAAAACATGAAATTCTCAAAATGCTGGTTCACTTAAATAACAAATAAGTAAAGTGGGAACAAAATGTTGAACAGTTAAGCAACACCACTATCTGCAATTTTGCTTTTAAACTCCATAATTTCACCTTTAAGTAAGTCGGTTCTGCATCCTAAACTTTCTGCCCTTGCAAGTTGTACATACAACAGCTGCAGACTCCTTGTACAGAATAAACACGACTGCTGTCCACATGTGCTTTTGGACTCCATCTTCACACTCATGCAGTAATACTGGTGTGAAACCTGCAGAAGTTTCTACTTTTTCCCCCAGTAGGTGGTGAGACACAAGTTGTCACTGCAGGTCTGTTGAGCTGGATGATATTAGCCGAGTTCTGATATCAGAATCCTCACACTGATCATTTTAAGTCCAGATTGGTTGATTAACCTCTTAAAAACTCATCCAAGTTAGATGTAACTTGTTGCTTTATCTAGAATTAGCAAATCTATGAAGTCCTAGCCCCATTTGTCACCCATCCTTCCCCACTTGCTGCAGCTCGAGCACACCAGCTCACCCACGACTCTGCTCAAACACTGAAAAACTACTCTATGCTACACAATAGCAACTTACTGGAGTAAGTCAGCTAGGAAATAGAAACTGATTCTGAAGAATGATACAGAAAGTGGACAGGCCTGGTGCTTTAGGTTTGTTGAACCGCTGTTTAAGATGCAAGATAAGAAGATAAGATAATGCTTCATTAATCCAACAGCTGGGAAATTTGCAGTGTTACAGCAGCAGGGGGGAATAATGCAAAAAACATTTTAAAAAAAAGAAACTAAACAAGAAATATGCTTAAAAACTGTTGGTATTGCAAAGATTAATCTCTACGTAGAAAATCTAGATGTTGCATAGATTCCTCTGAATGTAGAAAAACACTAACATTGCACAAATTCCTCATGTTGTTGCAAATATTCTTCTACAAAATGCTCTGCCGTATGCAGACAGGTATCATTCTGTACTGGACTGACTTCTGCTCTCGCGGCGGCACTGCCTGAGAAACTGCATCGATGCACAATCTAAAATTAGCTCTCTTAATGACACCGTGTAGAAATGTGTGTAAACTAAAGACAGCACCAAATATAGTCCAGACCACCTAATCCTGATCCAGTTACTTGATCAGGTGTTCAGGTATCTGAGGTCAACAGCAGCACAATGTCCAGCTGTGACATCCAGACTAAACAAGTCAACAATGGTTTCCCTCCATCTTCAGCTTGAACTTGCACCGACACACTGGTGGTGGTGTGACAGATACTGTGCAGGGATGATATCTGAACTAAATAGACCAGAGAAAACCACCTCACTCAGGCTTTTGGTTGGCTGCAGGCATTTAAATGGCTTCTTAAGCAAGAAAATCTTATCTTAATGGCATTACTGAGGCACAAGTCAGGAAAACTGTGATTTTAAAGCTCTCACATTATTTCTCACATCACTGTGCAGCCCCTGTGATTCTACAGTTATCTCAATTTGCCACTAGATGGCAACAGATAAATATGAGAAGAGCCTGTATGTTTTCAGTAGTATCTGGTTTCTTCGGTTACAGCTTGGATGTTGAGTTTACTGGAGCTCCACTTATGTTTCCTGGACTTGGAGAACGCCCCAGTAGAATATAAGGTGTAAATAAATAAAGTTGTACGTGCTGTAATGAGATGGGATTCTAGCTTCAAAGGCACTGAGTAAGTGAAAGTTTTTCACTCAAATCATCCCAGTGAGATGGCTGTAGCACACGCACATCCTTCAGGGTGCAGATTTAGACGAACTTTGTTTGTATCCTGTATAAAAAGAGAGTAAAGGGCCAGTCACATCACCGTCACACCAAGGTACACAATGCCTAGTGCAGTGTAAGCAGTTGGGTGAGCAGAGAGCCAGGGCTGTGCTGTGTGGAAAATGCTAGTGGAGGCAGACAATGCAGCAGTCCGAGGCCTGACCAGCCCTCAGAGGGACAGGGGTCGCTTCACTGCGACAACAGCCCCCGTCTCCCTCCCTTCTTTTTCTGAACCGCCACAGGATGGGCTCGGGGAGGACGCTGAAGTTCGCCCTGTGCGAAGTGCTGCAGTTTGCAGGCCTGTGCGTGCCCCTCTTCATCGTCATGCAGAGGTTTGCCATCATCGTAGCAAAGGTCAAAACGTCGGCGCAGCCCCCCGGCGACGGCAGCACGGCCTACTGGCTGATCGTGGCCTCCTCCATCGCCTACGTCACCTCCACCGCCCTGCTGGTCTGGGTTCCCCTGAAGTATATGGTCTTCATGAAGAAGAAGTTTCTCATTGGGAGGAAGAAGTGGTGAGTTGAGCTGAAGTCAGAGGCCTGCAGAGCCAGAGTGGAGGTGCAGCGCTGGTCCTGGCTGTGTGTGTGGTCAGCAGCTGGGATCCCAGTGCAGCACTGACTGAGACCTGCCAGCTGGTTTGAGTCTGAACAGGCCTGTGGCTGGTTTGGACATCATTTGGCTGGTCGAGTTTGCAAATCCTGCAGCTGCCTTTGTCTTCCTCCCTTACTTTTTTTTGTCTTTCCCTTCTTTTGTCCTTGTATCAGGAGGCCGGTGGCCCTCGTATATGTGATCCTGTCCACATTACCCTGCTTTGCCTTTCTCATCGCCAGCTCTGAGGTACAACATGCAGCAGATTGTTTCTTATTTGCTTTATTTGGTACATCAGTTTATCTGTACTCTGATCATGAACTCTGACCCGCACGTTGCTATATTTGAAACGAGAGTCAGTGTGTAATTGTAGCTCGTTTGTAGCTATTTTGGGTGATGGTGTTTACACTCCAAAGAAACCGCTTGAAACTTTTTTTTAAAAAAACTGCCTCTACAGTTTGGGACCAAAATAATATTTTGGGGCTGAGTGGAATCACAGTGTGAGGCCTGAGTGTGTGGAACAAAGGTGATGATTTGTGAGAAAACTTGTGTTTCTCAGGGGAGAAATATCCAGCTTTCTGGATAAGGAGCTACTGATAAGCAGCTTGGTTCCTCTTCCTGTCCACAGCGCCCTTGTCAAATCATCTGTCCATGAGGCACATTCTCACTTCCTCGCTGGCTGCAGCCCAGGCCCTCTTTGCTGTTTTATGTGGCTCTTTCTAAAGCTCAAGCTGACCTTTTGGCTTTTGCTTATCTGGTGTCTTTTACATAAGAGCCATAAATTCTGTCAAGATGACCAGCTTGTCTGCTTTGTTCTTTGTCCTGTTGGGATGAAGTCCTGACTCAGGCAAACCGCAGAGCTGCAAGTGATTTAGCCCATAAACACAGAACTTGAAGCAGCACATGTGAATTATTGGCGCCACAGTTCATTATTATTAAACCGATGGGGTTTATAATGATTTGAAGTGAGGAAATAGACGTGATAAATATTCTGCTTAAACATGTTCATTATTTTATGGTTGTTTGTCCAGGTTCAGATAAACAACAACATGAAACATGATACGTTCACAGAGCTCCCCGTATCACTAGTCCTCTTCTCGCTCATCTGTATCGACGTTGTGGAGAGGATACGTCACTGCAGACTGACCGGCCAGGGTGAGCGCGTCACACAAGTCATTCACTGAGTGCTATAGATCCTGAACTTTCCTCTACGGTGACACCAGCCTTGTTTTACGTTACAGGAGCTCGGAGGCAACAAATACACTGAACAGTTCTTTGCATAATTTATCCAGAACAATTTACAGACCCACGTTTAGTTCCTTACTCTTTGGCTCACTGCCCTCAGTTGAATAATATCAGCCCTACTGAGGACAGGAGCAGGAAATATCGTTAGCCCAGCTCACTTCTCGGCACACAGTGCTGACATGACAAAACTACAGCAAAGTTTTCTGAAGAAAAGCACTGTTCACATGGAATCACTCCAGAAAACTCAATCCGTTTGGGAAAGAAAAGTCACGAGGCTCCGACTGAACAGCAAATGAATGTTTGCACTTTGATGATCACAAGATTTACTGGTTGCCTGCAGCTGTATCTCTGTCATCAGGATTTCTTGCCTTTCTCTAAACTTTCTCACAACAAAGTAAAACCCACATTATGATTTTTGTCACATCTGCTTAATGAAAACAACCATATGAAACACTAACATCTCATGAAGATCAGCACGTAAGCAAACGTAATTCCACATTTCTGTGTTTAATCTTGTTCGACTGTCTTTCCTTGTCTCCCTCCAGCTAGTGATATGGAACGAGATGCTGAAATCCCCTCCACTGTCCTCACACATGTGGAACAGGTAACACCAGTAGCTCCAATTACTCCAGCTGTGCCGGGGCCAGCTGTGCCGGGGCCAGCTGTGCCCGGACCAGGTGTGCCAGGACCAGGTGTTCCCGGACCAGGTGTGCCAGGACCAGGTGTTCCTGGACCAGGTGTGCCCACTCCTTTGCAACCTGGAGCGAACCAGCTCAACGACAGGAACCAGAACGGAGCAGGGGCTCGACCAGAGACCAACGGGATGGTCCCGGGGCTACCGGGCAACACCGGGAGGCCGTTTAGTATCTCTGGGTTGAGCTCACGATCAGCGAGCACCACAGCGTACCGCTTATCTCCCTACGCCTACACGGGGCCTCTGAGGTTTCTGTGTGCCAGTGACGCCCGAGCTGACGTGTTTGTGGACAGCTTTATGTTCTGGATGGACACGGTGGAGATGGTGAGAGTAGCAGGACATCCTCTGGTCTACTTCTCAGGGTGGGTGTTCCCCATCTACATCTTCAGCTACGTGTCCTGCCTGCGGGTGGTGGTCATGCCCCACAGCCCCCTGCTGTCCTCACTCGGAGTGGCCCTGCAGGATTTACCCTTCTTCTTCGTGCGAGTCGGCCTCATCGCCTTCTTCGGCTTTGTCACGCCTATCCTCTATCTGATGAAGAACCTGTTGGTCTGTCTGGCCTTTGTCTATTTCAACTTTATGACCAAGCTGAGGGTCTTCAACACAGAGAGACTGTTCTTTTGAGACCAACACTTCAAGGACGGACATTGAAAGAAGTGGCAGGATCAAAAGGTTAACACAACCAGGAAATGTAGGGTGCTGGGATTCAGGAGGTGGTTGCACCAGCTCTTCAGAAAGCATTGCAAAATTAAAATGAGATGCACATAAACTAGTTATTGCATTGAGTATTATAACCAAATATCCAGTAACTGCCAGGTATAACTATTGTGTAGCTAACATAGACTGTATATAAAAGATGGACGTAGCCATCGTGATGTCACCCATTTGTTTTTGGACTAAAGTTTTGAAGTTTGGCATTTGGCCGTCACCATCTTGGTATTTTAAAACCAGACGGAACAAGAGAGGGATTATCTGACTGAAAACTTGAGAGGCTGTAAAGGCCTATTAATTAGAAGGTAGCGACGCCTTAAAGCATACCATGCCTTATTGTTCATTATACTTCAAATTGAACAATAATTTAGAAAATTCACACTGTATTGTGTTAAAGGAGACTTGAAACTACCAACTGACACAATAAACTCATTGTGAAGATGTTTACTAAAGAAATAAATCAAGTAAAAAAATAGGTTCATTTCCTTATAAAATCACTTTTTGTTGCAACTAGTGGAGTCGCCCCCTGCTGGCTATGAGAGAGAATGCAGGTTTAAGGCACTTCCTGTGGGCTTTTAGACTCAGAGGTTGTGTTGATCTTTTATACACAGTCTGTGATAAGTTATATATGATAAGAAACATGATGTTTGGATTGAGGAACAAAGAGGCAGTGTGGAATATGATCTACAAATCTGACGTGATGTTTCATGAAAAGCTGTTTTTATAAGGACCTAAATCTGGAAGAACGAGAATCCACAAAAGTAAAATAGATTAAATTCCAAAATGTTAATAGAGCAGGTAAAATTATTATTGTAGAGTGTTAACTTTAATTTTGAAATCAGTTAGTGACATCAGTATAATAAACAACATCGTAGGGTCTTAACCTTAACGTTTAAACTTGCTCGGTGAATTTGTAATCTTAATCTTATTTCTCTATTTAGAAAGCATACAAGGTGCTATATAAATACCAATGACTTGTCTTGACTTAACAAACATATAATTTGCCCGGTGACAGCTCTAAGTTTTAGAGGTTATGCAGCTTGTGATGCTACTGTGACTTTCTGCTACATATTTATTTATTTATTTATTTTGTTACATTTTATTGGACAGATGTTTCCTGGCAAACCATTTACACACCTAAAGACAAGTTTTAATGGTGCAGTCTGGTTTAGTTAGTCACTAGTTTTTAAATTAACCTTAGAGAACTTAGGGAGAGCTTAGTGATGGATTCAAGAACAGCTGGTGCAACCAAACCTAGTATGAATTAGGGTATGCGATACTAATGCAAGGAGATATTTTAGTCAAAGTGCATGATGGTACTTTTCACAGGCCAAAAGGGAGCTCTAAGGCAATGGAAATTCTGTGTCAAATGACTGTTGTGTTATGTATTATTAACTTTATGTATTTTTTAACCCCTCAAAACCCCTCATCCTCACCAAGCATGGCACTTTGGGAATGTACCTGTAACGTCACTTGAGAGTTAATAAGCAGATTTTTTTTTTCTACCATCATAAAGTGCAGTGAAAATGTAAGCACATAAATCCATGTTGTTTATATTAGGTTTTTCTTTGCTAAGTTACAATTCACAAAAGGAAAACAAGTGTGAGTTTGTATCACTGATATATTTATTTTGGTAAGATGAATAAAGAGACTCATTAAAATATATATTTCAACTTTCACATGCGTGAACTATCATAAATGCAGAGTTGACCACTGTGAACTCCAACTTAAGCACAGAGTGTGTATGTTTTTGACCTCCAGTTAAACCTCTTGCACTGGAATTCATCTCATTTCTTCCCAGCAGCTCCCCAGGAGAAAAAAGGTTTCCTGCCATTCTTCTGCAAAACATTCTCATCACTGACAAGAGCAATGACAATGTAAAAGTCATAATGTGGCTGCACCTGCGGAATGTGCAGCAATTGAGCACAACAGCTGTGCAACACAGTACATTTAGGAAGATCAGGATTTTTCAGGGAGGGTAAAAATATTAGATATCAACAAATATAACATAATAAGGCAAAATAAAAGGCATTATTCATTGTTGGCCGGCTGCAGTGGATTTTAATGACATTATGTCCATTTAGGAATATATGATAGTTGTCATGTAGTGTTTGAAAATCACAGGATTAAAGCTTTGCATTGCACAAATGAGCAATGCGATTTTAAATGTGGCCTATTGTTACAGTTGTGGGACCATTAATCCACTAGAACCCACATAAACTTTTTTGTTTTACTAAACTATAAGTACTGGTTTGCAGTTCTTATACTAGTCTTTTGTTAATTTTAAAGCTGCGTCAGTATTTAATGCATATTTTTTAATCTTTATAATAAATTAAATATGTGTAATGTGGAAGGTGTTGCTTGTTAAACCCACAATCCAATGTTGCAGCTGTCCTCAGTTTGTCCAGATCTTTTAGTCTGTTTTGGAAGATTATTTTGGTGTGTTGGTCCACTTATGTCAACTCAATTTCCAGCTAAAAGCATGCAGTAAAAAATCTCTATTAGACCAACTGTGCACTACCTGCTTAGCATGAAATGACATGCAGACAAATCTAATAAGAAGCTGGTGAAGATAGTGGAGCTTGTAGCCACTGCAGAACCGGATATTTCTCTCAGGAAATAGTGTAAACCACAACAAACCTGGATGTTTTATGTCTACAGATTGATCTGCTGCCCCCAAGTGGCAAAACAATCAACTAATGCAGCTACAAATCAGATTATCTCATATCTTTATGCTTAATACACCATGGTCCATACAAGGCACAGGTATTTTACAGGTGCATGTCTCACCTATCTGTATCTATATGTATCAGTTTGAGTGGTATTGCTGGGAATTTCTGCAGTATGAGGCCAAGTTGGTCAGATGGCCACCCATTTCCCCCAATAGGAAGCAGGATTTCCTCCTGTCCTCTGTCTACTGACTTGTATCATCACTGCACTCCTCACCCGAAGCCTCACAGACCTCTTGGGGGGAGGAGGAGGGGGTACTATCCCACAAAAAACCTGTCACATCAGCAAAGTGCTGCAAACCTCATTTAATTCTCATTTACTCTGGTGCTGGTGATTCTTCTAAATCTTCTGATGCCTGAAATGTGTTCAAAGTCAGTCTTGCTGAATGACATCTGCTCTCTGGGTTCATTATCCAGGCACAGATTTAGCACACACTGGGGTGCTATTTATAGCAGATCAAAGATCTCAGATAAAGGCAACATATTGAGCCTGAAAAGGAACACTTTGATATATTCATTTCCAAAATTCACCATCCAGTTCTCCTTTTTGTTGCCTTTGATTTATGATCCTACCTGACACTGTCAGTTGACTTTCATTTTCTTGCTTAATAGTGAGACCAGACTGTTTGTGTCCCTCTTCCTGCCTCCTCTGCCAAAACGTCTGTGGAAGCTCATGGAAGTTTGACCAGCCGTAACTACCCATGTGACAGGATATCCATCAATGTGATTAAGAGGGGAAGGCAGCATGTCTCAGTGTCACTGTTGCTCTATGTCACACACCTTTGCACACACCAGACCCCTGCTCTCATGACTGGAAACCTCTCCCACAGCCTCATCCACCACTGACTGCAAACAACACACTGAGGATAATGTTACCCTGCTCATACTCTGCCGTGGTCCTCTGTCTCCTGCAAGTCCTCTGCATCACCGCCGACATAGGTAAGTACCCTACGCACATTTCTCGTTTCGATCGATCATTCGGTTACTGAAGGCTTTTCATTCTGCTCCAGACACGGGCACCTTCCTGATCTTCAACGAGAACCACAACAAGTGCATAAAGGTGGAAAGTGCCACCTCGATAACTGTGGCCCCTTGCGACCCTCATGCCAAAGAGCAGCAGTTCCGTTGGGCCTCCGAGTCTCGGGTCCTCAGTTTGTCCCTCAAACTGTGTCTGGGCGCCACAGAGATAAAAGACTGGGTCAAAGTGCTCCTCTTCGAATGCAATGAGAGCAGCGTGCTCCAGCACTGGCAGTGCAAGAACGAGACCCTCTTTGGCCTCAAAGACCAGGACCTGCACTTGAACTGGGGAAACCGCAATGAGAGGAACATAATGATCTACAAAGGCTCAGGGCTGTGGAGCCGCTGGAGGATATTTGGCACTCGGGGTGACCTTTGTTCAAAGGGATATCAAGGTAGGAACTCTGGGTCTACCATCCACAAACCCATAATACTGTTAAAGTGGGAGCTAAACTGGAGTGTGCATTGGTTGTCTAGGAAGTTTGAGAGATTGTTGTCAGAATATATGTCTGTCTAAGTGCAGAACAATATACTGTATACACTTCAATTCAAAATACAGTTGCAATATTTTCAAAAGAATGAGATTTTTGCCATGGAGATGAAAAAACAGGTGCAAAGACTCAAGATTGAGCATTTTTGAAAATTTAAAGAAGGGTCTGTTCAAGAGATGCTCCGACTTGCAATTTAACAACTTATTTATTTATTTACATATATATATTTTAATCTCTACTATTGTCTATCTCAAATTTCATAACTGATTTAAGATTAAGAAGAAGTTTGGCTTTAGTGGTGCTTATTCCGGACTTTATAGAAGCATCTTGTGCAATTCAAATGATAAATTACGACTGCTATTCCTTGCATCCACATTACTGGATATTTAGACATAGTACAGACAGTGACATGTATGTGAGAATGAAATCAAAACAAACTAAGTCCTGCAGCATTGAAGGAAAATGTCCTTAAACTTCAAGACATGTGGTTTTAAACTGAGGAGACACTCCATTTCCAAAGTGATAATTGCCTTCTTCACACCACACTGGACCAGTGGACAGGTGATAGCTACAGGCAGTTTTTGATGGAGGGTACAGAAGCCTGTTTACTAGCTTTCAGGTAACGTGTATCAAGCATTGTTTAATATGCAGATATTCACTTAGTATGCAGTGCACTGACCATCAGTCTTAACTTGTATCCGTTTGTGATGGACTTAAAAGTCGCTTATAGTGAAATCTAACTTATGTACAACTTCAGCAGCAGGCATCATGTTCAGAAAATGCTACGTGAAGACAACCAAACACAATAAATGACGCACTTTATAGCCAAAAGTATGTGCCCATGTACTTCTGAGTACTTTTGATCTACAGCTATTTGTAATGATATTTGCAATTCCCCTTGTTTTTGATTTAAATCATGGCTCTGCAATGATATTTTAACAACAGTGTGTTTACAACTTTGTGGCAGCAGCTTAGGAAAGGTATAGATTGAGGTCCATTGAGAAATTCTTCTCGACATTTGGTGCACAGAGCCCTGAGTTCATCCCATCTAACATCTCAGAACTGTGAAGTGTTCTCACCCAGCATCAGTAAATGAACTTGAGGCTGAATGAGAGCAAAAACCTGCAAGCAGCTTCCAAACTCACAATGAAAACCCTCCCACAAAAGAATGGAGGCAGCAGGAAGTTAATATCCAGGATTTACTATCACACACTGGTGGAATAATGCACATATTTCAGAACTTTTACTTTGGGAAATGCATTTCTTATTATCTTTTAATCTGTGTCTCCTCAGAGATTTTCACAATAGGGGGCAATGCTTTCGGAGGCCCCTGTCAGTTCCCATTTAAGTTCCACGAGAAGTGGTTCTCTGAATGCACAAAGGAAGGCCGTTCAGACGGACAGCTGTGGTGTGGCACAGAGACAGATTACGACAAAGACAAAAAGTGGGGATTTTGTCCAACCAAAGGTAAATGTGCACAAGTAGCACTTTTTTTTTTACAACCCTACAGACAGTTACAGGCAAACAAGTCCGACACCAACCCAACACGTTCCAGTGACTTTTATCAAACGATCCTGTTTGATTTCATTGAAGAGGTCAATGCGTACAGGTCTGGTTTCTGACCCCGTTTTCACCCTCAGCAGAACAACACTACCGTTTCCTCTCATGAGTTGTCCACACAGCACTGTGCTTGTTTTCCTCTTTGTGCAGGTCTGTCTTTCCCTTGACACTGCTCTAAAACGGGGTCAGGAAAGAAACAGGAAAATAAAGGGAACTCACTTTACCATAGGCTTTGTTAGATAATTTTTAGATAAGGATGTTTTCTGAATTTTCTGAAGCTAAATGAACTGCTTCATTTGGTAACAAGCAACTGAAATAAGTTGATCTAAATTACCAAGTTATATTAGTACCACCGGTTTAAGATAGATATACTTAAATCTTTACTCTCAAATGAAAAGCTTGCATTACTTAATTATAAGGAAAGTCAACTTGAAGTTTCCAGTTTTTCTAACTTAAGTATTTGTTTTACCCAAAACTAAAATGTAAAACATGATGTTGTCATTGGACTTGCTGTTTTCTCCTTTCTTTTACTCTGTAATCCAACACGGCAAATCTGCTGATGCCAGACATACAACGCTACAGGAGTAGTGAACCTAATTTTCAGACTTTTGCAAAAATTAGAATCCAGTTTAAAGGGACAAAGTGTAATGTCAAATTAAAACAATCCACAAATTAAGATAAGATTCATTCAAGACAGTGTTTTACTTCATCTGCAGGTCAAAAACATCTTTAATAGTGTCTATACTTCCTTTTCCAGCTTTAAAACAATGATTGAATCTTACTGTCCCTATACATCCTCCAGTAAAGTCAACAAAACACTGCAGTATTACTTCATGAGATAAAACCTTTCCCACTGTTTCCTAACTTGCTGTGTTGTGTGTCTTTACCATAATCTAGCGTCCACTGGCTGGGACACTGACCCGGTCACAGGGGTTGAGTATCAGAGGAACGCTCAGTCAGTGTTGACCTGGCATCAGGCCAGGAAGAGCTGCCAGCAGCAGGGAGCCGACCTCCTCAGCATCGTAGAGCTGCATGAGCAGTCATTCATCTCCGGTAATAAGTTATCCCTGTAACAGCTACCCATGTTAAACAACCTCATGTTTTAACGCTGACATTTAACTGCTTTATAATACATGCAGGGTTGACAAATCATCTGGGAACATCTCTGTGGATTGGGCTGAACAGCTTGGATTTTGAGAGTGGATGGTCATGGAGCAACGGAAACCCATTCAGATATTTAAACTGGGCTCCAGGTTAGTGAACACATCGTCTTGTATGATAAGGTTTTTACAACTGCAGCAGCTCAAGTTAAAATCTTCTCATTAATTGTCAATGACTGTTTCCAACAGGTCATCCCTCATCAGAGCCCGGACTCTCCTGTGCGACCCTAAATGCTGCAAAAGCCTCAAAATGGGAGAGCAGCGCCTGCAGCAAGAAACTCGGCTACATCTGCCGTAAAGGAAACTCTACCAGTCTGCCCCCACCACCGAGTAAAATCCTCATTTAAAACAATCCAAATCAGCTTTATTAATAGTCTACAAACCTATAGAAGAAGATGTTTTTAGCTCTTTTGGTCTCTATCCACAGTCAAAGGGCCCAGTTTCTGCCCCAGTCATTGGATTCCATATGGAGGAAACTGTTATTACCTGGAGAGGAATAAGAAGATGTGGAGCGATGCCTTGGCTGCCTGCCGTAAAGAGGGAGCAGATCTGGCCAGCATCCACAACATAGAGGAGCAGAGCTTCATCATCTCTCAGTCTGGATACGGTAAGTGTGCCATAAGTCCTGTCAAAAAAAAAATAAAACGCAATAATCTGCACAGTCTGATTCTTTCTTTATAATTCTAGATATATCAATAATTACTCTGCATCTGTATTATAAACCTCAGTGCCGACAGATGTGCTCTGGATTGGCTTGAATGATCAAAAGAACCAGATGCTGTTTGAGTGGTCTGATCACACCCACGTCACCTTCACCCAGTGGCTGAGCAGTGAGCCGTCTCATGCCCTGAACTTCCAGGAAGACTGCGTCCTCATCCGAGGAAAGGTAACACCCGTCACCGTCCAAAAGACAGTTCAAGTGTAATTCATCATGAAACTGGTGCTGCTCTTATTATCTGATTATCATGCCAGATTTTACTTACATATATGTGCACACACACTATCTTACATTTACACACATCTAACATTTTTAAATACACATAATTTTACTTTCAAATAACTACCTAATAAGTATTTAAAATAACATTTTTGGCTAAATCAGTTTGTTTTATGGTCAAACATTGTAAAAGAACAAATTACAATTCATGTAGTTCTGATTGTTGATGTGGACAGTGCTTACAGTGTTCACCTGTTTTCTTTTCGGTTAACATGTCAATAAATAACTTTTTTCAACTTTTAACAACAAAAAAAGAGAAAATTGTTTAAAAAAAAAAAAAAAATTAGTTATTAACTGATAAAAGCCATGACTTTTGCACTGTGTGTGTTTCTCATACAGAGTGGGAAGTGGGCAGATCACATGTGTGAGAAAGCGTATGGATACATGTGTAAGAAGAAGGCCTCCATTCAACCACCTCAAGGCATCCAAGAGGACATCAACCCTGGATGCAAGCTAGTGAGTGATGCTCTTCATTTTAAACATGAGGGTAACTAGAAAACAAAGCCTTTACATGCACTGGTTTTATTTCACAGGGCTCCTTCAGGTTCGGTTTGTATTGTTATACCATTGGAACTGAGACGAAAACTTTCGATGACGCGAAGCGTTCATGCTCAGAGGCTGGCGGCAAACTGGTGGATGTAGCTGACAGGTATATTTGTATATCTATGTTGAATGCATGTTGAATATTAAAACATCACGTGAGAACAAGTGGCCACTGGAGTTAGTGGTTTTAAAATTATTCTTTGCTGCTAAATTGAGCCACTTTGTTTTGTGGTACCTTAAACTGAAGATGACTGTTTTGTAGTTTCAGCTCACTTGTTTGCTTTTATATGTGTTCATGCAGATATGAGAACGCTTTCCTGATCAGTTTGGTGGGTTTGAGACCAGAGAAGTATTTCTGGACAGGCTTATCCAACACAGACGACAAAACCACCTTCAAGTGGACCACCAGAACAAAAGTCACGTTCACTCATTTCAACGTGGGCATGCCAGGTAGAGCACTCTTACTTACACTTTATACTTTAACAGTTTATACTTTAGTGCACCACATGGCTCTGTGGATGGCAATGTCTCTATAACTACTGGACGGATTGCAATGAAATTTAGCACAGACCTTTGTGTCCATGTGAAGAAGGATGGCAATAACTTTGGTGATTTCATGACACTTCTTCTTGTGTAACATTTTAAAGTGGTTTATGACAAGATGCCTGCTAAACTAATGACTTCACCATCGACCTTGTTTCTCTATTGGAAAGCATTTTGGCTCAGTGATAGATGTTTTAAATATGCCATATAAAAGCGTAATTTGGCTTGACTTTTTTGCTAATTGACAGGCTAAAATAAGATGGTAAACATGGTAAAAATTATACTGAATATCATTCTGGACACAGTAATTTTTCATAGTTGAAATCATATATATATATATATATAGACTTAATTTCTTTTATATATAATATATATACATTGGATACACAGATTTGGTTGTGAAAACGTCTGTAATTATAGACAGTATTTCTCATTTAGCAAAAAATTAATGTAAAAATTATAGAATTGACGCTTCTGCTTCTAGTAATATTCACAAATTTACAGTAATAAACCCGAATTTAACAGTTTCATCAGTTAAATAAAAAGGCAAAATGTGTGAAATTATTCTAAATTTAAAAATGTAATCATTATTGTCTCAAAACAACCAATCTCAGTATTCTTTAAAAACATAACATTTTATGGTTATTCAGTTTCACACTGAGGTTTTTAAAGTTGTTTTACAGCAGACATGTAAATTCTGACGTCTGGATTTTGTTTTTGTAATTTTATTGATATTTTGTGTATTTAGAAAAGGCAGAAAAATCTGTAAAGTAAAAAAATTGTAAAATAAAAATTCCAGAAAATTTTTATTTTATTTTTTTTTACATTGTGTGTTTTATTTATTTATTTTTTTTGGCACCCTAAATCATTACTTACTCCATGACACCCTCTTATATCTTTTTGCTCAGTTCAAGTATGTTTTCCTTTTTCCACCGACATGTTTAATAAAAGACAAAAAACAAGGATGCGTTGCCATGGCCACTGGGATTTTTGCTGGATTATGGGATGTCCTCAGCTGCAGCAACAAGGAGAAGTATATCTGCAAGAAAGCGGCAGAAGGTGTGCATATGACCACAGTTCCACCCACCACCCCGACCCTGAACTGTGAGTCCGGGTGGACCCCTGTGGCCAAAAGGAACATCTGCATTAAAGTAGGAGAACAAACTGAACTAATCTGTGAAATTTAGGCTGTTTCCAGAACATAAAATTGAACATACTTTTCTTTTTCACGGGTTAAAACAGGTTTACAGGAAAAGAAAGGCCTCAAAGAAGACGTGGCAAGAAGCGAAGGACTTTTGCAAGGCCATTGGTGGGGACCTGGTGAGCCTACAAAGTACGCAGGACCTGAGCAACTTGCAGTACGTTCGCTGGCACTTACTGCAGCATATGTCCGAATCCATGTGAGGCAAATTAGCATTCAAGTAATCGGTGCTTGTGTTTTCTGCTCTCATAAAGTATTCATAGCTCTGACGCAGCATGGATCGGCCTCAGTCTGGGCACCAATGAGGGTTTTGTGTGGAGCGATGGGACGGCCGTACGTAACAACTCACTGCAATCGCAAAAAGCTTCACTCGCTGCCATTCTCGACCTAATTCTTTGTATTTCCTAAAACTGTGACTTAGTTCAGCTTTGAGAACTGGGGCTTTGGGGAACCGAACAACCACAACGACAACGAGCACTGTGTGGAAGTCCAGTTTTACTACGGACGACACTGGAACGATCGGCACTGCGAGGCCTACAACGACTGGATCTGCCAGATACGCAAAGGTAGCTGGTTTCATCAGTGAGCTCCAGGCCACACGGAGCCATTTACCCAAAGTGGTGAGGTTAAAATAAAGGCTTGTTTAGATTTGTGTTGTTCATGATTTTTATATTTTCAGGCGTGATTCCCAAACCTGAGCCTGTCATCACTGCACCTGGTAAGTTTTAGGAGTCTCATGTCTCTTAGAACTATTGTTAACTATTATTTCTTGGTACACAATGTTGGTTAGTTGGTTGATCCACCTCTCTGTTACGACAAAAATCACTCTTAGATGGCTTGGCAAGGAGTTTTGCACAAACATTATTGGTTTCCGAGTGAAAAAAACCCCCTAATGATTGTCTGATATTTTGACTGTTTTCCTCTCATTGCAGTATACAACAAAACAGAAGACGGATGGATCATTTACAACGACACACAGTATTACATCAACATGGAAAACTTGCCGATGGAAGCTGCCAGAGCCTACTGCAAAAAAAACTTTGGGGAACTTGCGGTTATCACAGGGGAGAGTGAGAGAAGGTTCCTTTGGAAACAGGCAAGAAAGACGGGAGTTTAAAAATGGCACCGTGTTGCGTATTTATAACAATCCTCATCTGCTGTTGAGAAAAACCCAGATCTAGTTTTTGATTTAGCCTTAATATCAGCGGTCTTATCTTTATGTTCAGATATCGAAGGGCTCAGAAGGGCAGTACTACATCGGCCTGATCGTGAATTTGGATAAATCATTCAGGTAAATCAAACCACAACATCGAGGTAAAACGCTTGGAATACTGGTATTTACCATTCAGCTCTAACATGAATATACTTTTGTTTTACAGCTGGCTGGATGGCACCCCGATAACTTACACTGCATGGGAACACAATGAGCCCAACTTTGCTAACAATGATGAAAACTGTGTGACTATATACAGGAGCATGGGTAAATCTGACGCAGAGATACTTCATATTGTTTTAGTTTGATAAACATTAGCTCATAATTCATTTTTCCTTCTTTACTGATTCAGTGTTTTCTCTAAACTCTGCACATTTAGGGTACTGGAATGATATTAACTGTGGCATTGAGCTCCCCTCCATTTGTAAAAGAAACAGTAATTTTGCTAATGTAACAATTGAGCCGACCCCGGTTCCTAAAGGAGGATGTGCACCAGAGTGGCTGGCCTTCCAAGGAAAGGTATTTTTATAGAATTTCACTGATTATTACAATACAGTCCCACTTCCAGGATGTAAAATCTGCTTAAATGTATTCCAATAAATGTGTTCATATTTTATTGACTGTCCATTTCTTGCTTAAACACACACACTGCAAATTCATCTTCTTTACACAGTGCTACAAGATTGTTGTGGGGAGTGACAATAAGAACTGGCAGGATGCCAGGAAGTACTGCATAAACCAGGGAGGAAATCTGGTTTCTATCGTCAACGAGAAAGAGCAAGGTGAGCCATATGAGCTATGTTCACTTTCTTCTGTGTTTGTCTGAAAAAGGGAACATTTCAGGTTGAAATAAATCACAAACTTTAGGGAGTTACAGACTTATGGGTTCTCCTTTTTCTAGCATTTCTGACAACACAGATGTTGAACTACAATGAGGACTTGTGGATTGGCATGAACGACGTCAACTGGGAGATGCATTTTGTGTGGACAGACGGCAGAGGCATTTTATACACCAACTGGGCCAAAGGACACCCGGCATCATCGCCTGAGGGACACTATTTTATGGAAGAGGTATAATTTTTTTTATCCAAGACTTTTTCTGTACAAATCTTTGTCTTTCTCAGACATTTCAACTCAATAAATCAATTGAATTAGTCACATCTTGTTTATCTTGGCAATCTAGGCCTTTAACTTTATAGAGCATAATGAATAATTTATGTACTAACCAGCATCTGTCATTTAATTATGGAGGTAGCAGGAGAAAAGCAATATAATATTCCAAGGATGCTCTTTAAATTGTCCAATCAGCTTTGACTAAGAAAATTGTGTTATTCTAATACAGCCACATAGACGGTAACAAAGTACATATTTTTCAGTGTATGTTGGCATATTTTCATTTTATACACTACTTTTTGCTCTTCTACATTTGTTTTTGTAGTCACAATAACTAATTAAATTTCAGATTAAGTTTTAACTGACAAAACATTTGATGATTTTATGAAATACACAGTTACAAATAGACAATTTAGAAAATAGTTAAAATTATTTTTGCTTCATCCAGCTACGTTGTTGTCCTTGTTACACATTAATACATCAACAATAAACCCGTCATATAATATAATAGCTTCAGTGTTTCACTCTGAAAGGGGAAATCCTTCAAAATAATATTCTGACTTATACAAATATACAAATTGTGTATATGAGTGCATTTCCCATATTCTATTATTTAAGGGATGGTCACATTAGTCATCTGAGCAATTCACTTAAATGAAGGATTTGGATGAACAAGGCTCAAAAAAAGTCTAAATATTGTCGTCAGAAAAAAGACTGCAGGAAGAACTGACGTACCTTTTCCTGCCTGGTAGGTGTTTGACTGTGTGGTCATGGTGGGCAGCGTCGCCAAACAAACAGGACAGTGGAAGGTGGCAGACTGTCACGCAAAATATGGCTTCGTCTGCAAACGGAACGTTGGTGAGTAACATATTAGCGAGGCCACAGGAGCATAAGGATAGAATTAACTGGCAAGCAACGTGTAAAGATGAACTAATATCATGCAACAGAGCAATAAGATAGAGATTTTGACTTACAGTTGTAACGAACGCGTCCTGTTTACTCAGATTCACAGATTGTAGTCCAGCCCACCACTGTGCTACCGAAGGCCTTCTACAAGCTTGGCAACGACTCCTTCAAACTGGTGGCCCAGAAGATGAGATGGGACGAGGCTCGGAGGCAGTGCCAAGCAGATGATGCAGAGCTGGCCAGCATCCTGAACCCTGTAACTCAGGCATATATCACCCTGCAGATTGCCAAGCACAATGAGTCTGTGTGGATTGGCCTCAACACCAATGTGGTAAGGAGTCTAGCTGGTATTGCGTAGCAACTGGTTCAAACTGGATTTCAAATTCACTGGATAAACATTCATCAGTAACATATCTGTTTCACAGACTGGTGGTCGCTTCAAGTGGGTTGATAACTGGGCTCTGTCTTACACCAAATGGGGCACAGATGAGCCCAAAAACAACTTTGGCTGCGTGTATATGGATGTTGACAGAACATGGAAGACTGCACCGTGCACCAATACCCACTACTCCCTCTGTAAAAAGTCTTCAGGTCAGACAATCTCTCCCTCTCTTGCAGTTTGAACACTAAGCATGGTTAGTCATCACTTTCTAAGCCTGGGGTTCAATCTCCTGCATCTTTTTCAGACATAGCTCCCACTGAGCCCCCACAACTTCCCGGCAACTGTCCAGAACCAAAAAAGCAGAAAACCTGGATACCTTTCAGAGGCCATTGTTATCACTTTGTTAGGTCAATGGTGGATAACTGGGCCCATGCCTCGGTCGCATGTCTGAAAATGGGTATGTTAAGAAAAACTGATCCACAAATAAATGACTTCATCTGTGCTACATAAAGTGTAACATTGTGCTACTGTGGTTGTACTCGTCAGGTGCTTCTCTCGTGAGCATTGAGGATCCTAGCGAGAGTGCATTCATACAGCAGAACCTGGAGCTTCTGCAGGATGGAGCTAAAACTTTCTGGATTGGCCTGTACAAGTCTCATGAAGGTGAGTATACTGAAGTTAAAGACAGCAAGAGTGTCAATGAAAGAACCACATGTACTTAAAAAATGTTCTCAAGTAAATGCACTTAGTTTTAGATGTCTTTTAAGAACATTTATCGCTGTTCTGAAGAAGACTCATAACAACCAGGATGGCAAAAATAATCAATCTGCTGCACTTTAAAAAATACTTTGTCTCAAAATGCAGCTCTATTCGTAATTTACATACTCCTTGGTTCTTGGTTAAGACATAAGAAAAACAGATTTTGTACAAAAATATAAAATAATTTTTAAAAAAGTAGCAACATAGAAGCTAAAGTTTATTGTATTTAAGTGTGACGTTTGATCAGTAAACTAACACCATTTCAGGTAAGTGGATGTGGATCGATAACAGCGTTGTGGACTATACCAACTGGAAAGCGGGGATGCCGAAGTCAGAATCATGCGTGGACATTAATTCTGACAGTGGACAATGGGCTACAACCAGCTGCAGCAGATATCGGTCTTACATCTGCAAAACACCAAAAGGTAAGTTTAATGAGCTGGTATGTAACTTTAACAGACCGATCAGTCACTTAGACTGACTATTTATTGTCTTTTTTTCAGTTATTAAACCTACAGAAAAGCCTCCAGCTGTTGGTAAGTTAATTTATCAAAGATGAATATTGCATAAGATGTTTCGAACTTAACTTGTGTCACTGACAAAACTTCTGTATGTTCTGCCTCCTCAGCCCATGTCGTCGAAGAACCTTCACATGGGTCTGCTGGCATCACTGTGGCTATAGTACTAATTGTACTTGCCGTAGTTGTACTTGGTGCTTTCTTCCGCCTTCGTAAACGGATACCCACACCTGTACTGGGAGAAAGCACCTTTGACAACAAGCTGTACTTCAACAATCCAATCCGAGCCCCTGTAGACACCAAAGGCTTGGTGGCGAACATAGAGCAGAATGAGCAGGCATAGAAAGACGTGAGGTCAGTGGTAATCAGCACTGTGGAAATAATATGATCAGAGACTTTATCTGCGTTTCTTACTTTATTTTGGATCACTTCACTAGAAACAAAAGCTGAAACAAAACCTGCAGCGTTTTTCAGTTTTACGAAGGACTGGATGGATCAAAGATACTGATTATCATTATTATTATTATACAATAATTCATGCACGTGATGGCACTACACTAAGTGAATAAGGGACAATCAGAACCAATTTTAAGATGATAATGTGATTTGTGAAATCTGTACAGTTTTTTTTTATTGTATTTTTTTACCAATCAGTGTAACCAAGATCATTTACATGCAAAAAAAATCAAGAAAGGTGAGGATGTATGCTTAACAATCAACCCAGCTAAGAAACAGCTGTCAATCTGCATTACTTTTCTTTTTATGTTCATCACCATATTTCTGGCTTATAATATTGTAAATAGATTCCCAATAAATGAAAATGAATGAAACAGAATTGCTGGTTTCCCCCTTTTTCTTCTACTAGACCAAAAAAATATTTTTTTACGCACTGAATTGCAAGTGACAGCTGTGATGAGATGCATAAAGACATACAGTATATAAAAGTGAATGATATTTTTTTTTCTGTCTGAGAATAGAGGATTATAATGACGAAATCCTTAGTGGACACAAGTTGTAGCTTAGCTACATGCTAACATGCTAACAGCAGGCTCACTAACACTGATGTTTATCAAATGTAATGTTTACTATGCCCTACTATGTTAGCATGTTGGCATTTGCAATTAATACCACATATGAAGAACAGCTGAAACTGGTGGGACAGTATTGGGCAAATAAATATTTCGACCCGCTGGGGGTACAAAACGAAAAGTCAATGGATCACCGAAATTGTTAAAATTCAGATTCTGGAGACTATGAATGTCAAGTTAATTACACATTTTCATGGAACTTTCACCAGTAATCCTAAGGTAAAGTAACTGGACTTCTTATTTTGGTTCTTGAGGATGTTGCACTTCTTGTCCAAGAAGCTTCTTCAGCTCTAACTGACTGAAGGGGACTGTGAGATATACTGTATTGTCACTCCCAAATCGCCCACCAACAAGCAAAAATCACATGCCTCCAGGTGTGAATGGTTGTGAAACTGCCAGGTGAAGAATGACTCAAGGTGTTAATGGCGGTGAAACTTTCTGAGGAAGGATCTCAGGACGGCATTATAAGTACAAGTATAAGTATAAGTATAAGTGATAAATAGTGTCGAAGATGCCCTCTTCTTCTAGAGATGACTTTTCCTGTTTAACAGAATGGCTTCCTTGGCTCCTCTCTCAAATCATGTTTGTCTTCTCTGTCCATATTGTTCACATTGCTATCGTCAAAGGAATGCCCTTTATCCTTCTGACGCAGGTGGACTGTTGACTCCCGTGTTGTGCAATGTGCTTGTGAAGCTGTTGTTTAGTCTCTTGTATATATATATAGGTCTGTGCACTCCTGGCTGCACTGGATTGCATTGGAATCCATCCTCCTCAGTCCTCCCTTGACAACTTGATGTTTCTGTCCACCAAGTTATTCTTTTCTGAAAGGTTTCTACTTCTTGGGCCTTGATTTTGACCCAGGTGTCATTCGCGTAGCTGAACTAGTAGCTGGATGTTGTTCTCTTAGAATAACTCAGTGTTTTACTTTCCACTTACTCCATGCAGAGATTGGCCACAATGGGTGACACTGGAGAGCCGTGGCACTGCTGGGTTTTTGTCTATTGAAACCCTCACCATAAATAGTTGTCAGACAGAGGTCCAGTAATGACGGGTCTGTTGTTTAAAGAACTGTCTTACAGAAACCAATCCAATAGCTGCTGAGATATGTCACTTTGGGCCAAAAATGTGGACTGACAAACAATGACAGTGTCATTTATAGAGCTGTGCCTCTACAAAGTCTCCAGAAACACTCCTGGCCAAAATTCACCAGCCATGTTAATATTTCATTTATTAAAGATTACTAATATTGTCCAGGCAGGATCGCTTTCACACTATGATGAGTTTTCCCGAAGCTTCCATGCTGCCTGCCAGGCTTTTGTGCAACAACAAGAACATGAAGCTTGCCTCCTGCCGTCCTCCATCTCTGCCAGCAAATCTGTGGAAACTTTCGTAAGTCGGTTTGATCAAGACCATTTTGTCATTACTGGGTAACTCTTACACAGCATCATCCACTTATATATAACTATATAACTGCACAAGAATGATGCTCATTTTTCTTTCTTCTAAAAGTCTTGTGATTTACTATTGATATATTGTTCAAACTGAATGATATCTACTGTTGATGAAAGTGAGGAATATGATGAAATTAAATGTCATATATCTAGATATAACAGATAATTAAAATTGCAAACAAATATTTTTCCTGGATTTTTGCCTATTAAAAATATATATTTGTAATAATAAATGTTGTAGATTAAAGAAAGACAATCAGATCCCACAGAACAACAAAGCAGCCTGTGTTTGGTCTGAACCTGTTTTTCTGAGAGATTTTTTTAACTATACTCTGTGAGGCATCAGACACTCAATCACCTCTACCGGAGGCTGGCCACCCCCATCACCTCATTGTTGAAAATGAGGCAGCACTCTCCATGGCAACGACAGCCCTCTAAGGCTGTCGCTGCTAATCCTCAGGAGCTTACTCAATTCTCGTAAGAGGGTTTTACTAGCAGCACCAATGCCCAAGAATTCTCCCCAAACAAGCGCTGGATCGTCTGTTTATCCTCCAAGGAAAACCTTTATCCGAGGAGAAAAACAAACCTAGTTGCAGCAGCTGAGAGGGGCAGAGGGGAGAACGGTAGGCCTGGTTCACCCGGTAAGCTTTTTTTCATCTATTCGGTCTCAGGTGTTAGTATAGCACTAACAACGATTTTGTCCTCTTGTTGCTGGGTTGATTTGACCTGCAGGGTGTCCAGTGTGGGAGGATACTGGGAAGCTCTGCATGTTTTGCTCTGTATGTTTGATCCTTGGTGACTCACCGATCATGCATAATAAAAAGAAAAAAACCTTAGATTTGATGGTGCGTTATGCATGTGGGGCTCATAGTCAGCATACTACATGCACACGCTCACGACCAGCTGCTGTCTTTCTCCTGAACATGCTGCTAAATAAGGAAAATGGTTCGATCTGCAGACCGTTACAAAACCTGACAGTATTAAAAACACACACAGCTAATGAGGCATTAAGGTTTTCAAGTCACCTGTGTGCGACCTGCCCATCACTGTAGGAGAGCTACTTTGTTCCAGATGTTTATCTCTGTCTGTCTGAGATATTGCTTTACATTAATAATGCCGTCTTCCTTGTCCCTGCTTTTTCTCAATACTAATTATTTTCTCCACGGTCTCCCCCTTCATGCCCCCTTCTCCCTGCCCCTGTGCTCTCTTTCACTTGCCTGCACTAATCCTTTTGTTGTGGACTGAGGGGCCCAGGCTTTGCCTGACCATTCGGCACTGTAAGGGCTGGTTCAGCTGAAGGGTGCCCACCGAGCACTCTGTCCTCCATCAGATCGGTCCTGCCTATTATTAACGCCTCCCTCAGCAAAAGCACTCTGCTGCTTTTCTTTTTTAGAAGCCTTCCATTCCCTGTCATTAGTCACCTTGAGTCAAGTTTCTCTGCCAGTTTTCTTGTGTATGTTTGCTGTCTATCACTTCCTTGTTGTCTCAATCCCTTAGCCAGTCCTCGGAGCTTGAGGGAGTTGAACCGTGCTGGTAGGAACATGCACTTCAGGAGCAGTGCTCTATGTTTGCTGCTGCTGCTATGTCTTTGCGTGCTGGGGAGGGTACTGGAAGTGAAAGGGCAAAACCAGGCGTACCTGTCGGAGGCTCTCAGAGCTTTGAATCTGCCCCGGGGGATGGAGGACAAGCCTCAGCTCCAGAAGAACAGCACCAGTGTCCTGATCACCACGCTGCTGCAGGCGGTGCGCTGCGCAGAGAGGACTGGCATGTCTCAGGACATGTGTGAAAAGGTAAGGCCTCCACCTGTCTTAATGTTATCACATAACTGTCACTGAAAGATAAACTGAGCAAGAATGATCTCTTTTCAGTCCAGTGTGAATATGCTCATTATGCATTCATTGCATAGTCTTGGAAACGTGCTTGTTATGGCAGGAATGTGAGTGAATGTGGAGGCTTAAGTTCTTGACCTCTATGGGGCATTCATGCTGAGTGGCTTTAGACATCCCTCAGTTTGACATAATAAACTCCATAGAGTGGATTTAGAGGTACTACACATGTTTGTGCAGGTGGACGGACCATGGGATTATGTGTGTCTCAAGCCTTGAAAGTAAGATTTAGAAAATAAGGGAGCAACATTTTACATTTAGTCTCTGCTTGCTGAACAGTCTGCTCTCTCTAACAAGGAACAGTGCTTCACCCACTCTCCTAACCTTGTACAATTTGTGCGTGGGTCTAATTGGGCTTGTATTCAACTCAACACAACACCGGTCCTTTTCCAAAAAGCACAGTACAGTGTGTGCAGAGAGAAAATAGGCCTTTTATCGAGCTGACCTGTGTTGACATGTAAATCTAAGATCACATCTTTTAAAAGCCAGGCGATTCTCACACGACCTGGTATTTTGAAACCTTGTCCTTAAAACCTGCCTAAATTTGTTCTGTTCTTCTTGCTTGGTCCTGTTCTTGTTTCAGTGCCTGACACCAGACGTAGCCCTCTCTGTGCTGGAGGATGATGGGAAGACTTATCTCACGGAGGAGGACTACCAACAGATCTCAACTGTTCTGCTATACTATATAATTAACTTGCAAGATCTGTGTGTGTCCAACGCTGCCTCTCCTTCCTCCGTTTCCTCGTCATCTGCAAACTTTCAGTTCTATCTTCTGGCCCTCACTAACCTACATCCAGCTGAGGATAACCGCTTCCTGTCACCCAGTGAAACAGAAAGTATTCTGCAGCTCATCAGCCAGCACTACAACCCCTCTGACCAAGATAGTGCCTCTGATTTGCAAGTAAGCAAGTCTTTTCCAAACAGATCCATTGTGTCCCAACAGATGTACACCTGCATAGCAATATTTAATCTTTAATTCAACAGTGTATTGATGCAGCTCGTCTCCTGGAGGATGTTGATGCTAAAGGAAATCTAGGTGCTACAGCATCTACTGTACCGAGACTGGCTGCAGCCATCATCAGCCATGTTCTGCAGGGCCGCTGCTTCAGACGGAGGAACCTGCCATCCCCTGCCTTCTTTACAGACTATATCTTTCAATCTCTAAATCGCACAAGTAACCTGCACATTATAGGTAAGTTCATGGGTAAGTTATGTGCTATTTAAAAGGCTTCGGCCTGTAATAACCTATTTTTTTGGCTACTTGGGGGCCAAACACAACAAACATCACCTTTTAAGTTATTATGACAAACTTACTATTGCCCATATTTAAATACGGAGCAGCATTATCCTTTTTTAAATTATTTTGGAGCCCTGTCTTAATTTTATAGCTACATGCAGCAACTGCTTCAGCACTGTTTTTGTTGTCGACCAGCTACCTCGGATAAAATATCAGATTCTTTAGCTGCTGGTTGGTAACTGTGTCGATTAACAGCAGTCTGTTGGTGCCAAAAGCAACATGATTTAAATGGTAAAAGGAACAAAACAGCAGAGTTATGGGCTGGAAAAGAGCAAAAGGAAGCTATAATTCTCTATGAAGGAGACTATGAGTGACAGGTTTTGCATTACTCATTGTGTTTTGATCTGTTGTTATTCTGAAAACACTAATTATAGTGGTTTCAACCTGCAATATTTTTATGACACATCTAAAAAAGAGAAGCTAACCTTAAGGACGGATACGCAAATATTTCAACTAACTCTTCCACCCTTTTAAAACTAAGAACTGTAATCTTTCTAATCACATAAATATACAATCATCTATATGGTATTGGATGCTAAACCTTATAATCTGCCCCCATCCTTTTCAATTGTCCTTTATAATGCCAGAAACCCTGATGTGACACACTGCTGAACTTGTGAATCTGACCTGATGCTGTTAAATCATGAAGTGATGCATCTCTCTGCTTAGACCTGGAGGAGCTGCTTCATCAGTTGGGAGTAGGACAGGAAGGAGGGGCGCACACTCGCGACAGAAAGAGGCGGAGCATCACAGGACGTTCACAGAAGGCAGCCGTGCCTTCGCTGGACAGCTGCAACCCTGAACCTGAAGGAATACACAGAGATTGGGCACAGGTGAGGTTGAACTAAACATCTGATTCTGCTTTGGAGCAAACATTATGTACTAAGTATCACAAATGACTGCATTGTTGTAAACTACACTTTGCGGGTACTGTGAGACTTGATTTGCAAAGCCTCCTACTCATCTCCAAATGTGCCTTTTCCTTTCAATCCAATCAGGTATGTTTTTCAGCCAATCAATTGGTGGATATTTTTGCTCTGGATCCTCATTTGCCAATTTCCAAGGAGCACTTCAGACAAATTTGCCCAGCCATCATTCAGCAGTTGCTAGGCAATGCCTGTGAGCCTGCAGAGCAAAAAGCAAGAGGATCTCTACCCACTGCACTCGAGAGTAAGGCATTTTACCTCTCTCCAAACCACTGTCAATAAAGACAAATACAATAACCATCATTTGCAACTAAATAAAATGCCTTTTGATTGTGATGTTGTCCACTAAATTGAGGAGGTGCACTTTAACCATTAAATATCACATACTAGGACATCAGTTGGACTATTAAATAAGAAATAGGTGAACTGGTTATGGTGGGCTTTGGTTTAATTGTGTGTACAACTGAAAAATGCACACAATAACGAAAAACCCCAATAAAAATCTGAATTTCATCATGGAAATCAACCAAGCAACCTTTAAAAGACCAGCATTTATATCAGTTATTTTACCTTTTCCTTGTTTAACGATTGTACTGTATGCATTGTATCGTGCAGATGCACTGTATAATAATTTTTTTACGTCGAAGCATGAAATACGAAAAAAAACAAACAGAAAAATGTAATATTAAGATGGAAGAAAGTAGCAAAAATAAAACGGTAACAAAAGTGTTAAATTACATTAAATTAAATTTACAAAAAAAAAATAGGATATCTAAGATTTTGTTTAGAAAAAGAAATGTATTCAGTCCTTGTAAAAACAACCCTCAGATATTTTGACTTAATATTTGTACACAAAGTGCATTTAAACCTAAAGCTCTCTCCTTCCTGCAGAGTACGGCTACAGTACAGCTGCTGTCCTGCTCATCACGGTGGGCTCCATGTTTGGCATCTGCCTGATCTTCTTCAACTCCTGCCAGGAGACCTACACTCTCATCCTGCAGCTGTTTGTAGGCCTGGCAGTGGGAACCCTTTCTGGAGACGCTCTCCTGCACCTCATACCGCAGGTACAGGGCAGCTGCACCGTCTGCCGTAACCAACTGCACGCGTGTTATTCATGATGAATGAACTGTTTTCCTTTTTGTCTCCTTTGCAGATTCTTGGCCTCCATGACGACTCTCACAGCCACGATGATAAACACCTCGTTGAAGAAAAGGACTATCTGTGGAAGATTCTGGGCATCATTGCTGGGATTTACGGCTTTTTCCTGATTGAAAGAATATTCTCCTTTTTAGTTCCTTCTCATGGCCATGTAAGACTACTGTTTTTTGCAGCCTCTATCATTTAAAAAACTCTCAACCGTTGTATAGTGCAAGCACTCAGCTGAGGTTGTGGCTGATTTTCTTTATCAAGCAAACTGTCAGAGTTTTACAAAAGAAAACAGGTTTGTCATGACTGTGCATGTTGAGCAACAGGGGTGTCGTGACTTTCTTTTGTCTGCAGGGTCACTCCAGCGACCTTCCCTTAGAGCTGAACTGCAACGGTCAGTCACAGAGGGGCAAGTCCATCTCCACCATACAGCTGGTGAGTCTCATCACAACCCACGCTCAACTGGGATGTTTTTTAAAAGCGCTCTTGGCAGAAAATCCAGATTCCTGTCATCATCCCTGTTATTTCCTTCATGATAGAGCAGACCATAGGGAACATGACAATGCAGTTTTTGGAACTTAATCAGCAAAATATCAAAAACACTGCCATATATTGAGTGCCGTAAATCATATTTTAAAAAAGTCACATGAGTCACACATTATTGTGCTTCTACTTCAGTGGTTACCTATATTATAATTCTGATGTACCTCCACCGTGGAAGTGCCCAGTTATCTTAAACACCTGTCATGTTCAAATGAGTTCAAACTGGTTTTAAACACCATTGCCTATGTAATTATAATAAGAATATTTCTTATTCGTTGATCAAAATCCAGGTTTCACATGGCAGCAAAACATAGGCTTTGAAAGACAAATAAAATACAATTTGTTGTATAAAAACTAACAAAGCTGGAAAAGGTAAAGAATCAAAAGACAGTTTAAAAGGCATTGGAACTCAAGTAATATCAGGAAAGGCTCTCTAATAAAAGTATGTTTTAAGGAGAGACTTAAAAGATATTACTGACTTCGTTGATCAGATTTCCTCGTGCAGATCGTCCCAGAGCCTCAAAACCCAGACGAATAATGCTCTGTTATGTTCAGTGTTCAGTTTTTAGTCCTCCAGAACAGATAAAGGACCTCAGCACAAGAAACTTCAAGTGCATACCAGAGAGGTCCTTAAAGATAAATGGTAAAACCTTGGTGGCTTTGTGGGAGCCAGTGTAAAGATCTGAAACAGGAGCGATGCGATTGTATCCTACGGTGGAAGCTAAGTTTTGTGGATGCTGAAGTTGGTTCGTAGATTTTTGGTTCGGACAAGTCAAAACTGTGTTGTGATAAGCCATGATTACACATGCTTTGTGGTGTGCTGCTCAAAACTTAGATTACTGTCAAACCAGGTCGAGATTTTTGCAGCAGACTTGATGTGATCCAGTAGGGAGCTGGCCAATTGCAGATTTTGCTTGGCATTGTGCTGCAACCCAGTGACAAGAATCTCAGTTATCTGAGTTCAGCTGAAGAAAATGTTGTTACACTGGTTGGTTTTGAGGCATGTCCTGTGGCTTATTGTGGTGAATAATAATGAAATAAACTAAAGCTCAGCATCACATTGGGTTTTTTCCTCTCCTAAACACAAATATGCGTTGTTAGTTTATCAACCTTCCAGCAAATGTTTTTACAAACTAGTTAGCAACTTATCATAAAGATAAAGCTCGACTCGGCACCACCATCAGCTGTGATACATGCTCTGCTACATGTGCTGCAGACAGTGCTGAGAGTGTTGTAGACAATGGAGTTGGAGCTGACCCCAAGCATATTTTTCTCGGACAACATATATGCCAATACCACTATATGTGTGACAGGCTAAACTATATATGGTCAGGCTCTAGTTTTTAAAAATGAAACGTTCATTCCTGTTTATTATGTTTCCAGAAGCCAAGAAACAGCAGTGGTAGTGACTGTGTCAACACTGTGATAAAACATTTTGTACACTTTGGACCTGTTAAGTGAATATAGTTTCATTCATCCCAGCGATGCGTCACTACTAAGTGTTGAGCTGGAGGCCGCTGTTTAAAAGAAAAGCTTCGGGACAGTGCAGCACCTTAGCACATGTCAGTCTATCAAAATTCTTTCAGAACATTTGCTGTAACAGTAATCTACTGAATCCATGTTCATAAATTAACTGAAGTTCACTTAAAGTCCTGTACTGCTCTTATATAACAGGAATTGAGAAGTGGTGTGGGAGGGAGTAAGAAACAGAGCATGTAGGATGTTGGAGAATGAGATGTACTGAATCATTCAGAAAGTACTTCCTGCTCGTGCTGAATCGTGCACATACAGCGGAATGCACACTTTGAAACTAGACCATGGAAAGCTTAATTTGTAGTCAACACACATGGATCTTTCTTTCCCATAAAATTAACTTTGATTTATACAAAGGGTTAAAAAAGATCATGAATCTGTGCTGTAAATAATTATCTCCAACCTCCAGGGACCAGTGGATGACTTGGAGTGTGCAGACATGTCTCCTGAACATGCAGACACAAGGAGGCCTTCACATCAGAGTAAGCTCCTTCGAAACGAAGCTGTACAATCACGCACAGATGAATGTGTCGTACTTTGTAATTAGTTGCCTGGAACGACAGCGCATTTGTCACAGTCTGAGGATGAGCGTCAGCGACACAGACCCTCTTTGTGTTCGCAGGACAAGGGGTTTCTCTGCTGGCTGTGATGGTAATTGTGGGAGACAGTCTTCATAACTTCGCCGATGGCCTGGTGGTCGGGGCGGCTTTCTCCTCTTCAGCTGAGACCGGCATGGCAACCACTGTGGCCATCCTGTGCCACGAGATCCCGCACGAGATGGGTAAGAGGTCACTGTTGGTTAGAAAACACTCTGTTTGGCTGACAACTTATCTCCTTTGTTTTTTGTTTTCAAGGGGACTTTGCAGTGTTGCTCAGCTCTGGACTCTCAGTGAAGACTGCTGTGCTAATGAACTTTCTCAGCGCTCTGACAGCCTTCATGGGGCTCTACATCGGCCTCTTTGTTTCCTCTGAGACAGAAGTACAGCAGTGGATCTTCTCTGTCACTGCTGGGATTTTTCTCTACCTGTCACTAGTAGAAATGGTAAGGCAGCGCTAGTAAAAGACAAGGCTTGTAATATTCTTTATTTGTTATGGTCAACAAATCCCATAAAAAGACCAAATCCAAAAATTAAATTGATCTGGCGTTAGCTATTTCTCCACGGCCATAGACCTTCACCTTTGTAGATGATAAAAATATTGTGAATATAGTGTATTTTGAATCAATCTTATAAGCATCATCCATTTGCTTTAAATACTTATTAGAGCCTCAAATGTGTATCAAGCTACAGCTGAAAATAGTCCCCAACAACTGCATAATTAACTCCTGCTTATGTAACAGTAGCTAAAGTACCCAGATTTAGTAGGAAGTTAATACTCCAAACCCTGAGGAGATTTTGGGAGGGTTTTTTTTTTTTTTTGCTTCTGTCACACTTTCACTCACTGTAGGCTCATTTTACACTACATTATAAAATCCTGCACCTCAGAAACAGCACAACCATGGCTAGAAGTGGTAAGACTCAAAAATGTCTTTTGTACAGTATGACACGTGCCATAAATTGTAAAAAAGGAAAGTTGAATTTCTTCAATTATTTTACAAAAGATTTAACAAAATAAAATAAATAGAAATGGAATTAACATGCACAACATTTTCAAGTGCCTGCAAGTGTTACCAATACTGGCAAACAAAAAAAAAGACTTGACAAATGGCAGATGCTTAACTTTAGCTATTTTAAGTTTTCATACTTTTCTCCTGTCTACTCGGTGTAAACACAGCCTGCAGTTCATCCCAGTTCAGCCACAAAGTCCCTGAATTAATATCACATGACTGTTGGTCACAGCTGAGTCACTCAGCATGTGCAGATTTTTTACGTTTAAAAAAATAAAATAAAATAAAATAAAAAATTTTACAGAAACTGGCTAGAATAAACTATTTTCTGGCCAATTCATTAATGAGGCATCAACAATAAAGTGATTTTGATGAACTAGTAAGCTCATGGAGCACCAGAAAACTGAAAATCCAACAATTCTTTCTGTTTTTATAGTTTTAGGCTCAGACAAATGGTGTCACTTTGGTGATATAAATTTGGAGATTGAAACAAACACACAAAAATCATGCAAGATAAAGAATATACCCTACTGGACCAAAATGAGATCATGTATTTCAGGACTACATAATTGCAGGCTGACAACACTACTACTCCCAGTCACTACACCCGTCTTTATGTACAATCTATGAATTTAAACTATTGAATGGAAAGTTTGCACAGACATTTGTATTCTACAGAGGACAAAGCTCACAGATTTTGATTATCTCACTTTTTCTCTCATGTAAACTTAAGGTTCACATTTGTGGTCTGGACAAGTGCACCAACAACATTTTGATGTATTGCCGTGTTCTCCTCAGGATGAATTGTCACAATTTTGGCCTGACCTTTCATCTAGTGCCATCACCATGACAAATTCATTTTTCCCACCACACTTTGATTTATGACCAAATACCTGCAAAAAAAATAATGGCATTCCCATCAGCCTCAGCTCTATATTTTGTTTTGAGCTAAATGGCAAACGTTAACATCACTATATTGGGTGAAGAACATAGTAGACATCTGCCCTGTACCCACTGAACAACAGCATGTTAGCACTGTTGCTACTGCTGCTTTCATGGGATCATTTTACAATAAGAACAGTAAAGAATATCACCAGCTTTATCCTATCTTTCTGCCAAATTGCTGAGGGTTTTGTTTTTACTCATTTTCTTTCTTCCATCAGCTTCCAGAGATGAGTCGGGTGAAGACCGACAGACCGTGCCTCATGTTCCTCCTACAGAACCTCGGCCTCCTGATGGGTTGGGCCTGCCTTTTGCTGCTCGCGCTCTTTGAACATGAACTTAAATTCTAAATGCAGCGTACATGCCTTCACGCGGGGTTGAGCCGAAACAAACTTGTTCTAGTGTTTTTCTGAGATTTTCATTGACTTGTTTATTATCATCTTGCGCTCTGTACACATGCAAGTGTTAGTTTGTGCAACCAGTCCGCTTCAACAAGTCATTATTTCTGAACAAGTGAGTGTTTCATGATGTTGTAGTCTCAGCACTGGATCACAAATATACGTTACGTTTGGCGATATGAAGCCTTTCTTTTTTATACTTGATGATTTATTTTTGTATGTTAGATATATTGGGTGCCTGTATCTAAATGTCTAACTTGTGCTCTTATTTGGCAGCAGCAGGTGGAATTGTGCATATCTGTTATGTGAAACATTGACGTTGCCTCAGACAATCAAATCATTGGATTTTGGAATCATTTCTCATTATGAAGATATAAAATATTGTCAATCTGCTTATTTTACTTCCTTTTTTTTAATGTAGTTTTTGTCAGTGCCTCAGAACTGATGGAAAATGACATCTGAAAATCAGTGAGGGAATTTTGTTATTTTTGTAAAGTGTCTTATTTTATATATGGATTTAGATAATACTTAAATACAGGTGTGTGATTTCCATATATTAGGTTTTCCTGAAAGAATCGCTTAAAATAGGAACAGTGTTTAATCAGTAGATTTGAGTTGAATAAACTCTAAATAAAAAGGGACAGTTCGGTATTTCAGTGTTGTAAAAAAAAAATCCTGATTTTGAGTCACACTTTAGTTTTTTTAATTGTATTTTTTTTCTAATAACAACTACCAAATTAAAAGCAGGAGTGCTTTCCAAGAAACTGGTTAAATTATCAGCAAATTATGCCCACCCATTGAGCATGACCTACATCTGGGATACTTATAAATATACAAAACCTGATTGGCTTAATGAGAAACTCTAATATTAGGTACAAAGAAAAAGCTCTTTGTCAGGCATAAGCTGCTCTCAAATATCAGTTATTTTTGAGGGCTCGTTTTGAAAAACGTTTCTCCCTTTCAGCTTCTCATCTCAGAGGCATTGTTCTTTGTTTTTGAGGCCTCTCTGTGATCCAATATGAGGGCACTTCCACCCACCTGAGGTACTTGTTCTCTTCATCCACCAACCTGGATGACTAATGCTCGCTGCTGTACAAGACAGAAACTCTGCAGCGATGCGACCCACACAGTGCACACGCTCTTTGCCGGTCAGAGTGGGCCTGCAGGAGGAGGTGGAGGAAGAAGAAGGGAATATGATGAATGCATGAGCACAATGAGATAAATGAAACACAGTAAATCAACTTATTTGTACATAAAATTGGATTTGTGATACTGAAAGAGTGAGTGGGCTAAAAAGAGGATTTTTCCTCGTTTTTAATCAGCTTGCTGTGATTAAATTCTGGTGCTCGCAGCATCAACATATTTCTGTAAAAATTTAAGCAAACAGCTGTCAAGCAGTTACCTTATTTGTGCGAGGGATTAGCTTCATTGCACAGTTTGCACGGTGATTATGCTAATTTGCCATTCGAGGCTTTTTTTTTTTATCAAACTGCAAAGTCAGTTCTATTGACAGTGTCATGAGATTATTTGGCTATCATGTCAGAAAAAGCTGACACCATTTACTGTGACTTCCCGAGTAACGTTTAAACAATAGAAGGAAGTCCACTGGATTTTCTCCTATTCTAGCAATTTCACTGTTATTTTAGAAATGCCAACCCCTTTGGCATTTCCAGGAAAGCTTCGGGCCTACTCGTTTTGTGTGTAAATCTGCTCTTTAGCACCAAAGAGGCATTTTTTTGGCATGTGAGCGTCTTTTCAAGGCAACTGCTGCCAGGAGCGAGGAAGGAAGTGCTTTTATCTGGGCCTTGTTGGTGTGAACACTGAGTATCCTCACTTGCTCAGCAGAGACCTGTCAGGAGAAGAGTTCAGCTCCGGGGTCATCAGGGCAGCAGAAGACACAAACAATGGGAAAAGCTCTGAGGCAGACACAGAACAGGAAATATAAAAATGTTTTCCCTTTGATTCAGAAGGATCTGACTGAAAATAATGCTTTACACCTGTTGTTGTTGTCATTTTTCCTTGAATTTGAGTGAGTACTCTTAATATGTCAACATAGTACATAGTTATCTTTGTTTCAAGAAATTAAAACTCATGATTTGTACCTGTTTGAGTAGTTCATCCACACATACATACAGTCACATACAATTATCATAACGGCTAAAATTACATTCCCACCCACATGAAGTTATACATAATGCATATGAGAAACAAGACCAGACAAGCGTTGTAAAGGATCTTTAAATATATGAAAGCTGGGGGACTCTGTAGCTCTATTTAGTCTACGTCGCTTTGCAAATTGAGCTCCATAAATTGTGAAATTGTTTCTCTTTGTTACAATCCTCTGACATTGTTGTTTCAACACTAAGGTAATAATGACTAATGTCCTTGATTTTTGAACCATAGGTGCTTCCTTGTTTTGCAATATGAGCCTTTTATAGATTAATGACTGAAAAGAAATTTACCAGCAAGTAAAATTTCATTAGTGGTGATTTTATATGTGAGATTGAAGAGCTGCTTTTCATTTTCCAAACACTAAGCAGCCACAAACATAAAACCTCCTGCCTACTACTGTGTGAATCCACCTCATGCTGCAAAAACAGCTGTGACCGACTGGGGCATGAACATCTGGGCATGGATCTTCTGTCTCCTGTGAGTTGTGTGATGGGGAGTCCTTGGAATGAGATCTGGGGAATTTGGAGGCCACGTCAATGTGTTGAGCTCTTTGTCATGTTCCTGTGCAGCTGGTGCAGTGTAGCATGGTGCAACGACTGCTTATGGGGTGGGCTTGGTCTGACACAATGTTTAGGTGGGTGGTATGTCTGAAAGCAGCATCCACATGAATGAAGGGACCCAAGGTTTCCAGCAGAACATTGCATCCTACCAAGATGATAGATGTTGGTCGCTTCACCTGTCTACCAGTGGTTTTATTGTTGTGGATGATTGGTGTATTTTATAGCAATTCTTCATTACTTTAAGCTTTTACAATTGTCTCCTTTTACCCATTTTCTTTAAATTTCCCTTATCTCAGCTGAAACAAATATTCTTGAGGTCACATGTCCAGTTTTTAACCTGAAAAATATTTAAAAAATAAAAAAGCCTCTTACTTTATGTCTTTCTTAAGCTTGTAAAGTAAAAGTACTGAGCTAAATCACCAGAGTTATTTTTTTAGACTTCAAAAAAAAGCTTCTCTGCAGCCACATATCTCATTATGTAACCGTTTTTACAGGCCAAGTGGAACAAACCACGACTGGTAAACCGATTTAAGGTATAACATTGATAGAGAGGCCCTTTAAAATGCAAATGCACATGAAACCACTAGAGGGCAATGATGAATAATACAACTTCAGAAGTGTCTGTAGTAAAACAGTAGTCTGGGGAAGGGGTTCTTCAGCTGCCGCATCAAGCCTAAACAGTCTCCTTTCATAGGAAAGGCTGTACCAAATGCAATACATCACAGGTCCTCATACACGGAGTGGCTTCCTCACCTGAGCAGGTATGAACAGGTATCTACAAGAAGAATCCTCTGTTTTAATAAATGTTACACTAATATAGCTGATACAAGCACTCAAACAATGATTTAGATCAGGGGTGTCGAACTGCAGTCCTCGAGGGCCGCAATCCAGCATGTTTTAGACGTTTCCCTCTTCCAACACACCTGATTCAAACGATCAGCTCATCATCAAGCTCTGCAGAAGCCTGATAACGATCCTGATCATTTGAATCAGGTGTGTAGGAAGAGGGAAACATCTAAAACATCTTTGGTTGCTTATTCTCAAATTTAAAAATGTGTTGATATTCTTTGCTTTTTACAACTGCAGATAGACTATACTACAATTGGCTTGGGTTTTGACTGCATTTTTCTTTAAACATTTAATTGAATAAACAGTCAGCTATTTTAAAATAATCAGATTAATCAATAATAAAAATGTTTGGGTGCAGTGCTAAAATAAAACCTCATTTATTCCTACTATAAATGACGCAGGGACGCGGTCTAAAACTCACTGTTACATATCAGCCTTCAACTGGACATCATTTGTCTCCTAATCAGCCTCAATATTTACTAGAAAATAGGAGATTTCTAAGATATTTTCTTCATCTGGCTGCAATAAATCTGCATGTAAAAGCATTGGGGGACACATTAAGCAAGGAGTCTATGGGAAATGTAGAGCACTGAACACCTTATATCCTGCATTCTGGTGAATTTTTATGCAACAATTTGTGCCTTTTCTGCATCCGCTTATGGTTGAAATGTCGTTTTTTTGTATAATGAAAAACAAAAAAATGCATGCACCAGATGATAATTCTAAATATAGTTAAATTAAATAAAAATTAGATATTTATTCATCTGTAAATTATTTTTTTCCCATTGCATATCATCCCTGCTGAGCCAACACACACACACATGCATGGGTTTTGACTTTTGTTTTGAAAGGGTCCTAAAATCTAAGCCACTGGTGATCAACAATAAGTAGATTTTCAGTTAGCAAAGACTTATAAGGGCTTAAATGACAAATTAGGCTGCATATTGCTAGACAATGCATCTCCTAAATGGTGTCAACTGATTTTAATGGGATAATCTCACCCACTTGTCAGGCTTTAACAATCAAAGGTACTCTGATTTTTATGCTTTTCAGTCGCATCCATGCTGATTCTTTGTTAGGCTGCTGTTATTCATCCCCATCCTTTCGTGCTGTGAGGGGGCAGAGGTGTTGGCGTTGGATGAGGGCGCATGGAGCATGAGGAGCTCTCAGCCAGTGTGGGTAGGAGCGCACTGATGAGGAGGCTCTGCGATGCTGAAGGCTATAATATCCGAGAATTCACATCATCACATCACCATCTAAACTTGAGAAGAAACTGCAACCCTCTTCCGCACAGGCTCCTCCTTTGACTCTCCCGAGTGAAAAAAAAAAAGAAAAACTTAAAGATTGGCGGTGCCAGCCGAGCGGCAGCGCCTCGTTTTCTGTCAACTCTTTTTTAAGTTACTGTGTCAAA